CACGATTTCTTTAGTCTACTCCAGCATGCTTATTGATGCATTACTTGAGAAAGACACGACGAATAAAGAGATTATTCAAAACTTGAAGATCCTAATTGTACCTACTCCAACGACTCTCTTGGAAACTGCTTCTTCAGTAGAGACACTTGAGCAAGTTGCTTCCAACGTCGCTTTTGTTACCTCTATATAAGAAGCTGAAGAATCAAAGGAAAAGTAACAACAAGCAACAAGAAGATACAACAAAAACTAAACTGAAACTCTGCACAAAACTCTTGTAAATATATTTGGTGTATTCCACAAAGTCTTGGGATTTCTTACTCTTGAATATCTTAGAAATCTCAAGTATCAAGGTCTTTAATTGTGTTGTATTCTTTGTACCTTTGATTGTATATCAAGTACATCTTGTTGTAATCCTAAATATTTTATTTAGAATCTGTAAAGTTTCAAACAGAGTGTTTGAGCAAGAAAGTCTCAGACATATTGTTTGAGCAAGGAAGTCTCTAGCTAGGTTGCTTGAGCGAGGAAGTCCTGAACAAATGTGTTTAGACAAAGAAGTCCTGAACTGGTGTGTTTAGGCAAGGAAGTCTCTTTCAGGTTAATTAAGCAAGGATGTCTTGGAAGGAGGTGTCTAAGCAAGTTGTAATCAGGTTTTGATTATAGTGAATAGCTCTTATGGGACAAGGGGACAAGATTGCTCTCGTTATAGAGGAACCAGGATAATTTCTGTGTGTGTTTTTTACTTGTTTCTTATGTACTCTATTTTATTCTGTTGCTGCTTACTCGTGCTTGGAATCTGAACTTGGTCAGACTCAGAAGTTGTTGTTCTTAGAAGTAAAAGTTTACCAAATATACAATTCAACACATTTTTCTTGTGCATTTTCTCACCTTCAAGCTAGACTAGAGATGACAAAAAATCGTACCCACGAGTAAAACCCGTCATGTGTACGGGTTGGATAGCTTAATAGGTATCCACGGGTAAAATAAATGAATGTTTAGTTATTCGATTCCTTATGGGCACTGATACGGATTTGATGGTATTCGTACCTGCGGGATATGTGTATCCATTAATAATTAGCAAAGTTACTTAAATATCTTTTAAAATTATTATACTTCCTTTGATCCTATTTATAAGAGACAACTTACTTTTTAGTTACATTGAATAATCAATGTACGTGGACTTATAAATTGTACCGGTGGGAGTACTTAATGAATTCCTTTCATTTAACTTGTAATCTCCTTTTCACCAAAAACCCTAGCAGCATTACAATGTATGTTTTTCATTTTTGTACCATCGTCTTCTTCTTGCCTTGTGTCGAGCTCACTTCCTCTCTCTGTGGCGATGGTTTCTTCACGTCTCCAAAAGCAGCAACGACAATGATTTCTTCACGTCTCCAAAAGCAGCGGCGACAATTTCTTCCCTTCCTCTCTCAGAGGCGGTGATTTCTTCAGCTTTACATCTCTAAAAGCAGCGATTTCTTCAGTTCTGCATCTCCAAAAGCAACAGTTTTTTATTTGATTTCTTGTGTGTGACATTCGTTTTTTCTCTTTTTTTCTTCTTCTTCTTATTGGGTGTTTGTGTTTGCTTTTCCTAGAATGTGTGATAGGTGGAGTAGAAATTGATTCTTTGATTTTTTTTTGGTTGATGGTATTGTGGTTGTTCAAGTTTGTGCTTTGATTTTGTGTTTGTTTATCTATTTGAAGAATTTTATATATTGTGTAAAATTTAGTACGGGATCAATGTTTGAATTGAAGATTGATGTTGCTTAAGCTTTAAGCTTTTTTGAACTCTTATGGTTTTTGTGTTGTTATAAAAGTTTATATTAGTTCAATTATGATATTTGATTGTTTTGATTTTGACCTGAGCTGAAATTGATTAATTTGTTTCCAGTAGTTTTGAAACATTGCAAATGACACTTATATTATCTAAATAAATTACATAAACTATTGATCTAACTCAATAATGTTTGGAAAGGCTAGTATTTAATGTAGTCCAAAAAGTTAACCTCTTTTGTCCCAGCTTCACCTCTTTAAGAATCAACTGTTTCATGGTTTGTCTAAATTATTCCATGAAAGATTTTATCCAACAAATGAGAATAATTTATTCTAATGCTAGTCATTAGTCATTACATTCCTGTCATAATACATGTTTTTAACATTGTCTGCACGTTTCTGCAATGCAAACTGTAAATCAAGAACTTGTGATTCTTTCTTCCTTAAACACCACTTGAATTGTGAAAAATGAATCAAAGTTATTGCCTTAACATTAGTCAGACGGAAACTACATGCACATTGTTGACTGAGATTTTCAACAAGAATTAAAATCCAACCACGAGAATCCAAGAAGGTTCTTTAAAAAGGTGAAATTATCTAAATCGACTACAGCTACAGTCGACCAGAAGAGACCCCTTAAGTAGTTAATTGGGTCTGAAAACGTCAAAAAGCCTAAAGAGTCCAGACCAAGCGAGCGAAATGCTTTGGAGAGAAACATGAGTTTGAGTGGAGAACATAGATTCGTGGAGAGAAGTTGCAAAATACACGTAGCGTATAAAGAAACGAAGCTCGACAGAAAACAATTATCATATGTGTATTATAAATAAAGCACTTAGTGCATAGTATTAGAGGTTCAAACTTTCATATTTTTATACGCTAGTCATCCAGAGTACTCAAACGAACGAGCGAAATGAGTCAAGCTAGGGCAATGTATGTTTGAATCAACTTATTTTCAACTATTTTGATGTTATGTCATTTATGTTTACAGTTTAAAATAATTTTTTTTTACAAGTCTTACTTTATTGTTTATAAACTTGTTTGGCACCAGTCGAACGAATCCTTTTTGAAAATATTTTGTGAAAGCACTTGAAAACTGAAACACTATACTGAGATTTCTTGATCGACCTCACAAATGAACTTTTGTTAAGAGACCAGCGTTGTTTATTGAAACCAGAGGTAAACACACATCTTCTTGTAACTGTAAAGTATTTTAATTGTAATTGTCATATGCTAGTATGTCATATGCTAAATGATTATAAGGTCTAAGTAAAGGAAATCCTGAACACACAAACACTTTGAACGGCTTATAGTTAGGTGTATTTGTAGAGAGAAAAGTAAGAGAAGAATTAAGAAGACCAAAGGTGGGAAATTTATTCATAAGATAGAAAGACATGATAAAACTATGGTTCCAATAGGTGACACAGAGAGAAGCATGTGCAATGGGAGAGATTTTCGGGTTTACAACATATCCATGAAGTTTATGTTAGAATCACACCTTCAACATGCAATTCCATAGCAAGAAATTGTTATCTAGCGACTTATTTGAGAGCTTTGGACCAAAAGAAATTTAACATGATGAGTTTCCAAAAGAAGAATTGGTTACTTTGGGATGATGACTAGTTCTTCACGATTGGTGATGACTTATCAACATCCACCATTGTTAAGGAAAATGAAAGATCGATAAAGAAGCAGATAAGAGTTGAATTAGCTAGCGCGGAAATGAGAAGATCGTGGGTGGTTGATACCATACTAAAACTCAATAATATGAATCTATGATTCAATGTTCAAAGCTTGAAGATACAATTGATTTTAACTCCTAATATAGAGGAGTGTGTTGGTGGTTGATTGAGTTGAAACAAACTTCTCAACAACTTCAACCAACTGTGTATCCAACTTGATATAAGTTATAAATGTTCAAGTCAAAAGATACTAAAAGAAAAACTACATAACAAAAAAACAAAGGCTATATCTAATCTAATACTCATAATAGTTACAAGTTGGCTTACAATCATTCATCTTGAATGTCTTCTTTGAATTTAGTTATCACGTTTTCTGTTAATCAACATAAAAAATGTTGTAATGATCTAAACCCTAAGAAATTTTAAAGATATTTTCTCAAATTTATTACGTGGGGCTTTTTATGTTTGTGATGTTTGTAAGTGAAGTATTATCTATAATGTTCTTATTACATTTTAAACATGTTTGTAGTAGAAAGTGTCACAGATTAAACCATTGAATGTTGAAGTCTTGAAAAGGTACACTGATAAGGTGAAATCCCCTTATGGGGGAACATAGGCCGAACTGCCGTCATTACCGTAGATTGTCGCTGTTTCTTTCTTCTTCTTTTGTTAAAGAAGACATGATTTATTAATGAAGAATGTGCAGGTCTTTTGGGCCTGGTTTAGAAGTCCAGTTGGGAAGTTTGGTTGTCAAATAGTGTTTGGTTCAACAGTAGTAATCACATAGGTTACCTCTGTTTCTTTGAGAATGAAGAAACAATGCAGTTATATGCAACAACTGTAAAGATGGTTGAGAGTAGATGAGAAGAAAATGTGTAATGGGTTTAAGATTGTTTAGAAAGCCTTTGTCATCCAATGGTACAAAAAATTGTATCGCACACAGCAGAACATGCTACACCAAAATAAGTTCAACAGCTAACTAACTACACACTTGTGTAGTAACTTGTAATGTACTCAAATGAATTAATTACTATCATTCATTACCAGGGGTATGTTTTTTAGGGTGCACAAGACTAGTTATTGCCCAAACCTAAAGTTTGACACATTTAAACCTTGGGGAAGAATAGATCTCATAAAATATTTGTTATGATTCAACAATAATAAAATAGAATTTCTATTAGATTCGTCACACTTAAGCCATTAACTACTTCCGAAAACTTAAGACGACTATGTACATTACCATAAACTTCAATCAACTCCTAACATTACATTGTGTTGAGTGTCCGACATGTGTCATTTTCCAATATCAGGACGACATTTTTACATATGACTATATTTAATTATTCAAGTTTTTAAGATTATTAGCGAAGTTAGAGAGAACATGTTACATTAATTACTCTCACTCACTCTACAAGAGTCGTATATCAAAGCAATCCAACATTACAATAGAAACACGTATTCTCTAACAGATCTAATAATGTAGAGATCATGCAGATTAAGGTAAATTAAGAGTCAGAAGTGACAATTACGAGTATTGATTGAAGAATAAAATCAAACAGTTGGTTTGCGTAGGAAAGCAGTACCAGGATCATCACCGCAGGGGAGAACCTCAAGGCCAGTGACAACAGCTTGGGAGGGACCGCGACGACACCTCTGCTCCATTTCCTTCACCGCATCAAAACTACCGGAGAACAGAGCCTCCACAGAACCATCCCTCCGGTTTCGAACCCATCCCTTCAACCCCAATTCCGTGGCATTATCCACCGTCCAATTCCTGTAAAATACTCCTTGCACCCTCCCCTTTATCACCACCCTCTCCTGCAAAAGAAAAAGATTAATCATTGATTCACCATAAATTGATTAATCAATTAACAAGCCTCAGCGAAACGCACCGTTTTGGTTGAAGATGAGTCTTGAGAAGTGGCCATAATAGAAAGTGGATGTCAAAGATTAGAAGGGAGATGGAAGATTCTAGAAGTAGTGTTGTTAGAAATAGAATTGTTCCAATACGCAATGAATCTGGGTTGCGTAGGAATCACTCTAATAATGCTTGATGCCATGGATATCAATAAAACTGAAGCAGTGAGGGATATTATTTTATTGATTAGGAAAATATTTACTTCCTTTTAATAATGTTTTAAAAATATAAAATTTTGAACATATATTTCTTATTGTTATGAATTGACACATGATTACAATTCATCTAGTACAAAAAAATCAAATTTGTATACGTTAAATTTCTTTTGAAATATTTAGAGATTATTTATTTGGAGACTTTTAATGGAAGATGATTTTTTTACCTATTAAAGTTAATTGATTTTAACAAAGTTTAGATAATCTTAATGGTATGAATACAGATATTAATTTTAACAGTTTTACTAGCAAGACATCATCCTCTTAAAACCTAACATATTTTCACAAATGTCATTTTTATTTGTAAATAGTGCATGTTTTAAATGGCTAGCTTTATGAACGCTGCGTCCATATTTTCAGAATCTTTGGTGAGTGCGTCTTCGCCATTACAGGGATCTAAAACCGGTATGGCGAATTTGGGTAGAAACCAACTCTTAGGAGGGGCATCCCATGCAATACTAAGCCTCACAAATGCTTCTACGACAATTTTGAGGCAACAAATGGACGAAAGTAACCATGATATGATACAAATGTTGGCACAAACTTTGAGTACAGTGTTGAACCCTCTAATACAAAATATCACCCAGTTGAATCAGCAAATGACAGCTCAAATGACACGCATGGCTAAATTTTTTTGGATTCCCCAACCTATTCGACAACCCCAAAGAGCGCCAATAAGAGGGAATCAGGGTATAGTCTTAGAGGAAGATGTGACCATTAACCAAAATCTACAACCAGTTGGAATGAATCATAGAATGGAGATCGAACAACCTAGGGTCGAAATACCCAGTGTTTCCCCACAGATCCCTAGAGATATCGATCAAGATGTAATTGTGGTAAATAGAAACCAAAATGTTGACGGAGTGATACAACAGGTTCGACACCATAATTATGGAACAGATAAGAATCTGACAGCCATGATCGAAAGAATCATGATACGAAATGGAATGAACATTGGCTTTCATAGGCCAAACTTTACATCCCCATTGTCAGAGTATATCTTGCAAATAGATTTACTCCCTGGGTGGAAAGTTCCAAAGTTCACCAAATTTTCTGGGGATACAACAAAATCTACGGTCGAACATGTGGTGAGATATTTGATAGAAGCTAGGGAAATCTCAAATAACGAGAGTCTTAGGATTAAGTACTTCCCAAGTTCCCTAACTAAAATTTTTTTTACTTAGTTTACCACCCTCCCAGCCAATTCGATCCACAATTGGAATCAATTGGAGAGATTGTTCCATGAACAATTTTACAAGGGACAAATCAAAATAAGTCTGAAAAAACATGCTAGTGTGAAAAGGAGATTCACTGAGCCAATAGATGAATATCTAAATATATTTCGACTGCTCAAAGCCAGATGCTTTACGCAAGTGCCTGAGCATGAGTTGGTTGAAATGGCAGCAGGGGGCCTAGATTATTCTATTAGGAAAAAATTAGATACTCAATACCTGAGGGATATGGCCCAATTGGCCGATAGAGTTCGACAGGTAGAACATCTTAAAGCTGAAAAAGCTAAAGCAATCGAAGAGAAAGGGTAGCCTATGTCGAAATGGATGATGATGATCCAGAGACATCTAGTGATCCTATAGTTGTCGAAGAAAGTGAAATATATTTATCTGAATTAAAGCAAGGGCCATTGTATTCTTGCAGATTGCTAATGCCCTCAAATAGAAAGAATCTTACTGAGTCTGAAAAGAACAGTGATAGATTCCCAAAGAAAACATATAGTTTCGATGTCACAAAATGTGACGAGATATTTGACTTGTTAGTTAAAGATGGCAAAATGATAGTGCCCCTAGGGGAAAAATGCCTTCGTTAGAACAAATAAAGAAAAAAGGTTTTTGTAAGTATCATAATTTTTTGGGCCATAAAACTTCGCAATATTTTCTTTTCAGAGATTTCGTTCAAGGAGCGATCAAAGAAGGCCGACTCAAATTTGCTGAAAAACCTCCGATGAAAATCGATGCAAACCCATTGCAAGCTAATGCCCACTATGTTGAACCACCAGGCATCAACATGGTCGAAGTTTCAGAAGACTTCGTCAATAAGCCAGTTTTTGGCAGTTTCGCTGGGAACATCTCCAGAAAGACTGTCGAAAGGGTGAGAAAGGCTACTGAAGGCCTAAATAAAGGAGCTATTGAAGGCTCAAACAAAGGAGTTGCTGAAGGCTCGAACAAAGGGACTACTGCAGGTTCCTATTTGGTTGTCGTCACGGGTTCGACACGAGACCTAGAAGCCAAAATGCAAAGGCTAAATCTCGCTGCCAAGAGCAATGTAGAAGTCAATATGGTTGAAGTATCTGGGGAGAAGGCTTCATAAGATGCCATCCAACAAAAGGAAGTCAATAAAACAACATTTTATAAAGAGAATGAGAATCTGGCAGATTTTCTGCAACGATGCTAGAAAAAGAAGTCTAAACTGATGTTGTGTCCAAGATGCAACTCTATCTTTGACAAAAAGGCTGCATAACACATACAGGGTGTGAGGGCAGGAAAGGAGAAATGGGGCACCAATGCCCAACCCAACATGGATCCTGAGGTCCGGTATGATCCCAGAAGAGGATATCAGAAAGGACCAATAAACCAGGTGAAGAGGCCATCAACTTTCAGGCCTCCAACAAATGTCCCGTGGACACTTGGCTGAAAATAGTAAGCAGAAAAAGGCCCAGTGAGGAGAAATGGTGAACATTTGATGTGCCAAGAGTATCATCTTTGGCCTATAGGAAGTAATTCCAAACTACAACAACAAATAAAGTGGTTCATGTGTCGAGCAACTACAAGGGAACATGTCCCGCTCCCAGTGGAGGAGATATCAAAGACGGTGAAAATCCAAAAGAGAGGCTATAGGGGAGCCTCAACCTGAATCAAGCATCAATGTGCCACAAAGAAAGGAAAAAGGCAAACAAAGAAAGCCTTTGGAAATAAAACCAATTGCTAGAAGATTGGTGTGGCCAGAACAAGGTGAATCAAATGATGAAGGTAATTCTGAATCTGATGCTACTTTGGGTATTATGGTAAATGTAGTGTCAATAATACCCAGGGAATACGACCGCCAAGTCGAAGTCGAAGAGACTGACTGGGAGCTTGAGCAGGAGATGGCCAAACATAGGCCAGTTTGTTATTACGTTATGAACAACGACTGTGTCAAAGAGAAAAATGCTTTCTTCGAACGCCCCACTGAGGCGGTGAAGAATCACCTCAAACCATTGTTCATAAGAGAAAAATTTGGGGAAGCAACCATCAACAAAATTCTGGTTGATTGTGGGGGCACAATAAATATAATTTCCCAAGGTATGCTGAGGAAACTAGGCAAAGGGGATGAAGATCTCAAACCCCACAACATGGTTCTATCGAACTATGAGGGAGGTATTGGAACTACTATGGGGGTGATACAATTAGACCTCAAGGTGGGAACAATACTTCGACCAACTACGTTTATGGTCATTTCAGCGAGGCCCAACTATAATCTACTCTTAGGTAGAGAGTGGATACATGGCATAGGAGCAGTGCCATCATCAATGCACCAACGTGTTACCATTTGGCGCCCAGATGGTATAGTTGAAAATATTGAAGCAGATCAAAGCTACTATATGGTCGAAGCTAATAATGTCGATAAGACAAACTTCGACAGAAATCTAGCTCACATAGGGCCATGCAATCCTCCAGACTTTTATTTGTCACCAGCACCAAATGCCTTTTGCTCCCTCTACTTACACTATGGCCATGGTTTCCAGTGGGATAGAAAGATTTATCAAACATTGACTATGGAGGAGTTGATGACATATGGGCAACAGGATGGGGAAGTGAATTCAGTTATGATGACTGAATTATAAGCTTTACAAAGGATTTCAGCATATGTGGCCTAAAGTAGAATGATAACGGCCTTAGAGTATGAAGTCAAGTATATGGTTGTCGAAGCCAATGTGCAAGTGTTTCTTTCAGAAGGTCCTGGGAAAGACTTCGAACCAGAACCACCTGACTTAAGAAGGGAGGAAGAAACAAGCCAGAGGCTAGATGCCATCTATGATGATGAGCCTTTGGGTTTTGAAAAGGATCCATTGCCAGACAATGTTAAAATGCTAGCACAATATCCTCTGGAATAAATAGACCTGGACGAAGGTTTGGTGAAAAGACCAACATACATCAGTGTGAAGATAGATCCAGCGCTCAGGGTAGAAATAATCCAATTGTTGAAGGAGTTTAAAGACTGCTTTGCATGGGATTATGACGAGATGCCTGGTCTCGACAGAAGATTGGTGGAGCTTCAATTACCGATAAAGCCTAGAAAAAATCCTGTGAAGCAGACTCTAAGGCGTTTTGCACCAGAAATCTTGTCGAAGATCAAGACAGAAGTCGAAAGACTGCTAAAATGCAAGTTCATCCGAATGACCAGTTATGTCGAATGGATTGCAAATATAGTACTTGTTATAAAGAAAAATGGTACCATTAATTTTAGAGATTTAAATGCTGCAACACCCAAAGATAAATATCTAATGCATGTGGCGGAAATGCTTATCAATTCTTCCGCTGGCTTTGAATACATGAGTATGTTTGATGGATACTCTGGGTATAATCAGATTTTCATTACTGAAGGGGATGTGTCGAAAACAACATTTTGATGCCCTGGAACTTTAGGTACTTATGAATTGGTACTGACGCCCTTTGGCCTAAAAAATGCAGGGGAAACATATCAAAGGGAAATGAATTCCATCTTCCATGATTTTATTGAAACTTTTATGCAGATTTATATTGATGATATTGTTGTCAAATCTGTTTCAGGGGAGAATCACATA